CCTGTGTAATACAAGCAATAATGTAAAAGTAAAAAATTACTTTTATATTATTGCTTGGCTTTTTTATAGCAGCTGTAGTACCTCAATCTGATTCAGTAAACCTAAGGAGAAATTTGCTTTTTTTTCTTTCAGATGGTTTTAGATGTGACACCTAATTATTTTAAAGCAAGAAATTATATCCTCGCTGTGTTTTGTGTAGCCATTCTTACCAATAGGTAGTGCAGCAAACCTACATAAATGAAATCGTCAAAAACTGTAGGGCCACCAAAATAATTGTGTGATAACAAACATACGATCAAATGAGTGAGATAAAAAAAACTATAATAAAATGATGTCCAAGTGAAATAATCAAAATCCCAGTGAAATCCTTAAAAACATCTGTCCACCACCTTGACAGTTGTGATCACACTTGATATAGTGTTATCAGTGGTCCACCACCGCCTCCCTGTGAATTGCAAACCGATGGCTGCCATTACAACAGCATATGTGCTCATATAGTATCTCCACAGCCATCAATGTGTGTGTCAGGTGTCAGGTATCACCCCCCCCCCCCCCCCGTAATCGGGACCCAGTGGTCATGTGATCGATATACAATCACATGATCACAATGTTAGCAAAACTGTTATGAATCAATCTGATTCATGACAGCTTCGCTTCCCTTCCCAGTGAGCTGTGATTGCCCCACAGCTTTCTCATGATATATGGACCAGTCACAGCACCCTGTACTATGTGATTAGCTGTATCCAATCACTAGTACTAGTATTTTGAACTGTCATGAACTTAACCCATTCATGACAGTTCAAAGCAAGCATTGCATTGAAGGAGAAACAATTTTTATTGCTCTGTAAAGCAAAGTGTACAAAAAAAAATCCTGATCTCCCCCCCTCCCAGAATAGTACAACGTTGCTACGGTAATATTGAACTACTCTGATAAAAGAATTTAAATAAATATTGTAAAACAAATAAAATAAAATATTTAGAACCTTTTTTAATGTTTTTTTTTTTAACTACTTGCCGGCCACAGTGTGCTTACATTGCTTTCTATTTCTGTGTATGAGCGTGCTTGCGTACAGCTCCCGCTACCCCCCCATTGGTCCAGGGAGATAAGAGAGAACACCACACTGTGAGTAAAACATTTTACACACACATGTTAGATTAGCACATTTAACACTTTGATTGCCCTTATTAACCCTTTGATCGCCCAGCCAGTGCCAGTATAGTACAGTGTTAGTATATAGAATTTTTCACTGATCACTGTATTACTGCTACTAGCGTCATTAGATAGCATAAGGATCAGTTAGCTCCCCTTCAAGCCAGGGTCAACTAACGTTAAACTGCCTGCACACCATCACACTTATGCTATAGGTCGCCGATCACAGCCATTAATAGTATAGTGTTTGTACAGGTCAACATATTGCTCACAAACAGAACTATACTAGTGCCACCTTAGTATAGTGTCCCCAAAAATGCAGTGTTAGCAGGATCAGCCCCGTTCACTGCCAGCACTAGCGTTTGGCCCCTCCAGTGTTTTCAGTTCTTGCCAGGCAATTCACATAGAAACCTATCATGGTTTCTGAATTTAAAATTACTTTGGGCCTCAACATGGGCATTACAAAATAGAATGACTTGCGGTCATATTGGTACACAGACCTGATTCATCATATGCCCATGTTCTCTGCTATCACATATATGCCCAACAAGGACCAGCAACGTACTGTGTGGTTATACCAAGATGATGCCTGCAGCTACAGGCATCATCCTGGTATCATTTTTTTCAGCTGGCAGTGGAATTTCATGTAATGGCAATCCTAGTGGCTAATTAGCCACTCGATCACTTTTGAAAGCAGTGGGAAGGGATGTCTCCTCAGCTCCCACCCCCTTTCATGGCTTTCTCAGGCTCTCCCATCCCACCATGGAACCCGAGAATGCAGCTGGCGGACCATAGAGCGAACGGAATGGCTCCTATCATTTCATTTTTGTCGGATATAAACAACACTATTTTAAAATTGGGAAAGCATCTGATCACACTGATCTTGGTGTGACCAGAAGCTTTAAGGGCAGAGGAGAGATCTAGAGTCTAATAGACCCCAGATTTCTCAGAAAAGTGTACCTGTCACTGCCTATTTCTATCACACGGGATATTTACATTCCCTGCGATAACAATAAAAGTGATAAAAAAAAAAAAAGAAAGGGACAGTGTAAAAATAAAAAAACCAAACAAATAATTTAAAAAAAATCACCACTGATACCCCACCTCGTGCCTGCAAGCAAAGGCAAACACAAGCATCTGTCCTGTGTCGGTAGGCAACAGTAAGCATTACAAATGTACGTAGTTTGTTGTGCACAATTTTAAAGCATGTTATGTTTGTCTATTTACTGATCTTTTATGTTTTATCAAACAATTGGGCAATATATTGTGTTTGTGTGCAAATTCAAAAAAAGTGTATTTTTTTAAACAAAATTGCATTTAACAAATCGCTGCGCAAATACCGTGTGACAGAAAAAATAAAAAATGTCAACACCCACCATTTTATTTTTTAGAGCCTCTGCTTTAAAAAAAATATATATATATATAATGTTTAGGGTTTCAAAGTAATTTTCTAGCAAAAAAAAAATGTTTTTTCATGTAAACAAACAGTGTCAGAAAAGAATTGGCCTTCAAATGGTTAAAAGAGTTGGTAGCATAAGCTTCTAATGTTGGCCCTAAAATGCCAGGATAGTTAAAGCACCCCCCACCCAAAAGACACCTTTTTGGAAGTGGACACTCAAAGGTATTTGATAAGGGGCATGGTGAGTATTTTGCAGATCTGATTTGCTGTTACATGTTTTGAGAAAATGAAGAAAGAAAACAAAAATGTATTTTTTCTTTTCTTTTTCAAAATCCTGTGACAAAAATTATATCTGCAAAATACTCACGGTGCCTCTTATCGAATTCCTTGGGGTGTCTACTTTCCAAAAAGGGATCATTTGGGGGGGGGGGGGGGGGGGGTACTATTGGCATTTCAGGGCCTCTAAAACTGTGATAGGTAATGACATATGCCATTTGAAAGGTGACCATTGGATTTTGAGGGTCTGTATGTGGCTAGGCTGCCAAAAAGTCTCTCACATGTGGTATCCCAATACTTGGGAGGAGTATCAGATTGTATTTTGGGGTATTACTCCACATATTCCCATGGCATGTGTGAGCAATATATCATTTAAGTGACAAATAATAAATAAATAAAATCTTCCATGGACTCGACATGCCTCTCAGAAAATTCCTTGGGGTGTCTACTTTCCAAAAAGGAGTCATTTGGAGAGGGTTTTTTTTACTGCCCTGGCATTTTATCACCTCAATAAATGTAATAAGCTGTCAGACAGTAAAAGCTACGTAAATTCCAATCTCACATGCAGCATAGGCATAGTTACAATAGCATAGGCATAGTTACAATTGCACACCAAAATATGCTATATTGCCTAAAGTATTGGGACACCCCTCCAAATCACTGGAGTCAGGTGTTCCAATCACCTCCATGGCCACAGGTATATAAAATCAAGCACCTAGGCATGCAGACTGCTTCTACAAACATATGTGAAAGAATGGGTAGCTCTCAGGACCTCAGTGAATTCAAGCGTGGTACCGTGATAGGTTGCCACTTGTGCAATAAGTCCATCCGTGAAATTTCCTTGTTACTAAATATTTCACGGTCAACTGTTAGTGGTATTATAACAAAGTGGAAACAACTGGGAAGAACAGCAACTCAGCTACGAAGTGGTAGGCCACGTAAATGACAGAGCAGGGTCAGTGCATGCTGAAGCGCACAGTGCGTGGAAGTTGCCAACTGTCTGCAGAGCCAATAGCTAAAGACCTCCAAACTTCATGTGGCCTTCAGATTAACACAACAACAGTGCATAGAGAGCTTCATGGAATGGGTTTCCATGGCCAAGCAGCTGCACCCAAACCTTACATCACCAAGTGAAAAGCTTCAGATGCAGTGGTGTAAAAGCATGCCACCATTGGACTCTGGAGCAGTGGAGATGTGTTCTCTGGAATGACAAATCATGCTTCTCTGTCTGGCAATATGATGGATGTGTCTGGGTTTGGCAGTTGCCAGGAGAACGGTACTTGCCTGGCTGCATTGTGCCAAGTGTAAAGATTGGTGGAGGGGGGATTATGGCGTGGGGTTTTTTTTCAGGGGTTGGGCTTGGCCCCTTAGTTCCAGTGAAGGGAACTCTTAAGGTGTCAGCATACCAAGACATTTTGGACAATTTCATGCTCCCAACTTTGTGGGAACAGTTTGGGGATGGCCCCTTCCTGTTCCAACATGACTGCACACCAGTGCACAAAGCAAAGTCCATTAAGACATGGATGAGCGAGTTTGGGGTGGAGAAACTTGACTGGCCTGCAAAGAGTCCTGACCTCAACCCAATAGAATACCTTTGGGATAAATTAGAGCAGAGACTGTGAGACAGGCCTTCTCATCTGACATCAGTGCCTAACCTCACAAATGCGCTTCTGGAAGATTAGTTAAACATTCCCATAGACATACTCCTAAACCTTCTGGACAGCCTTCCCAGAAGAGTTGGAGCTGTTATAGCTGCAAAGGGTGGGTCAACTCAATTTTGAACCCTACGGACTAAGACTAGGATGCCAATAAAGTTCATCTGCATGTAAAAGCAGGCATCCCAATACTTTTGGCAATATAGTGTATATACCAGTGATGGCGAACCTTTTTGAGCCCGAGTGCCCAAACTGCAACCCAAAATCAACTTATTTCTTTCAAAGTGCCAACACTGCAATGAAACCTGAATATCGAGCTTTTGGTTTAGAAAAAACAACTCGTACAGTAGTGCAAACTAATTAACAGTACAGGGATGACCAGAGACTGCGGACAGTACAGGGATGACCAGAGACTGCGGACACAGTACAGGGATGACCAGAGACTGCAGACACAGTACAGGGATGACCAGAGACTGCAGACACAGACAGGGATGACCAGAGACTGCAGACACAGTACAGGGATGACCAGAGACTGCGACACAGTACAGGGATGACCAGAGACTGCGGACACAGTACAGGGATGACCAGAGACTGCGGACACAGTACAGGGATGACCAGAGACTGCGGACACAGTACAGGAGATGACCAGAGACTGCGGACATAGTACAGGAGATGACCAGAGACTGCGGACACGGTACAGGGATGACCAGAGACTGCAGACACAGTACAGGGATGACCAGAGACTGCAGACATAGTACAGGGGATGACCAGAGACTGCAGACACAGTACAGGGATGACCAGAGACTGCGGACACAGTACAGGGATGACCAGAGACTGCGGACACAGTACAGGGATGACCAGAGACTGCGGACCACAGTACAGGGATGACCAGAGACTGCGGACACAGTACAGGAGATGATCAGAGACTGCGGACACAGTACAGAGATGACCAGACACTGCAGACACAGTACAGGAGATGACCAGAGACTGCAGACACAGTACAGGAGATGACCAGAGACTGCGGACAGTACAGGGGATGACCAGAGACTGCGGACACAGTACAGGGATGACCAGAGACTGCGACACAGGGATACAGGGATGACCAGAGACTGCGGACAGTACAGGGATGACCAGAGACTGCGGACAGCACAGGGATGACCAGAGACTGCGGAAAGCACAGGGATGACAGAGACTGCGGACAGTACAGATGACTGCTGACCTTTGGGGAGGGAGGGGGAGCGGGTACCTGAATTTGACAGGTACCCGCTCTTACTTCCGCAGAGTTTTTTTTTTATCTTACCTGTTCCTTTATCCAGCCGCGCGCTGTCTTCCCGGCTTCTGTAGTGTGGGCGCTCGTCGGACAGCCGGATGCCCAGTGCGCATGCGCGAGAAGCGCTGCGCCTTGTGATTGGTCCGGCGGCTTCTGGGATCTGTCATGTGTCCCAGGTACCGCCTTACCATTCACAAAGAGCACTGCTTCTTGCGCATGCGCACTTGGGACCTGGCTGTCACGCACACTACAGAAGCCGGGAAGACAGCGCGCCGCTGGATAGAGGGACAGGTACGGTCCCACTGCAGAGCTGAGCGGCCGGCCTGGTATTCTGACACGGCGGCGGTGGAAATACCGGACCGCCGCTCTATATTCGCTCCATAAGACGCACTGACATTTTCCCCCCCTTTTTTGGGGGAAAAAAAGTGCGTCTTATGGAGCGAAAAATACGGTATTCTCCTGGCGTGCCCACAGATAAGGCTCGGCGTGCCGGCTGTGGCACGCGTGCCACGGGTTCGCCATCACTGGAATATACCATAGTTTGTAGACAATATAACTTTCACACAAACCAATTAATATACACGTATTTGGATTTTTTTTTTTTACCGAAGACATGTAGCACAATACATTTTGGCCAAAAGTTATGACTAAATTTGATTTTATTAGATACTTTTTATAACAGGAAGTAGAAAATGTGTTCCTATACATGATAATTCAGAACATATGTGAATGCTGCACCAGATGTCCCTAGTAATGATGAATAAAATATCACTAAACATTGTTAACATAATGAGCACTTGTTCTAATAGGCATTCAAGTAATTTGACATTTGCTTAGTGTAGACTTAAGCTTCATGTGAATTTATACACAATGCAATAGATAATGTTTGCTAGTACTTTATTATACTATAAAATTGTTATCATCGGTTCACTGAATAGAGCTGTTATTAGTCAACTGTGTTGATTTTCACATATTTTATGAGCACATTTGTGTGCTGATTATAATGCATTGTTAGAAATACCATAAATAGGAATTTTCATTAATTGTGGGATTCAACAGCTTAGCTTTGTAGACTATTCATATTTGTAAACAATTTAATGCTCATTGCATCAAACTGCAGTATTGTATACAGCATGCTAAAGGTTACAGTACATTACAGTTTGTTTAGTGATGAGGTGCCGTTCTCTACAAAATTTGCCTGTGTGTCCAGGGTGTGGGTCCTCTACACTGTGGGATCACAGGTGGTAGGTTGATGCTGAGAGTCACTCAACCTGGAAAACAACTGGCACTGGATCACAGAGCATTGAGTCTTCAGTGGACAGTGCTGGAGAAGAGGTGAGGATTGCAGCAAGTTTTTTTTTTTGTATTTTAAAACCATATTAGACAATAATAATTGTCTATGAGGCCCCACATTCTTGTGGTATAGCTGCCCATTCATCTTGACAAAATGCCTCCAGGTCATGCAAAGTACTTGATCGTCTTGCATGAACCGCACTTTTGAGATCTCCCCAGAGTGGCTCAATGATATTAAGGTCAGGAGACTGATGGACACTCTAGAATCTTCACCTTTTTCTGCTGTGACCACTGGACAGTCGACTTGGCCTTATGCTTAGGGTCATTTTCATGCTGGAAAGTCCAAGAGCTTCCATGTGCAGCTTGAATGCAGAAGAATGCAAACTGTTTGCCAGTATTTTCTGGTAATGTGCTGAATTCATCATGCCATCAATTTTCACAAGATTCCCTGTGTCTTTAGAGCTCACACACACCCAAAACATCAGTGAGCCACCACCATGCTTCACAGTGGGGATGGTATTCTTGTCCCTATAGACCTTGTTGTCCTCTCTCCAAACAAAGCACTTATGATTGTGACCATAAAGCTTTATTTTGGTCATGTTACTCCAGATTACAGCGTGCCAGAAGCTGTGAGGTGTGTCAAGGTATGAAACCCAGCGTCTGGTGATGTCTATGCGTTCCAGACTTCAGGCTGTAATTGACTGCAAAGGATTTGCAACCAAGTATTAAAAAGTGAAAGTTTGATTTATGATTATTATTCTGTCCCATTACTTTTGGTCCCTTAACAAGTGGGAGGCACATATGGAAACTGTTGTAATTCCTACACCGTTCACCTGATGTGGATGTAAATATCCTCAAATTAAAGCTAACAGTCTGCAGTTAAAGCATATCTTGTTAGTTTCATTTCAAATCCATTGTGGTGGTGTATAGAGCCAAAAATGTTAGAATTGTGTCAATGTCCCAATATTTATGGACCTGACTGTATGTGAGTTGTATTATATTAATATATGATTATGCTCCTTTTTCTTTTTTCTTATTTATAATCATGTGTTGTAATTTGATTTCTTTTAGATTTTACTACTAAGCCCCTGAGGAAGCGATAATTGTCGCAAAACATGTTGGGCCATTTTCCTGTGATCTAATGTCCTCCACCCCCCTATGGGATTCATCTGGTGGCTTATGTCTCCAATCACAATGGTGTCACTTATATACGGTGGGCTGTGAGACATTGTCTGCGGGGATAGTATAACTATTATCTTTTAAACTGCAAAATGTTTTTCCATGACTTATTGTCACAATAAAGTACAAATGATTTTACCAATATATGTTTGGAATTTCCGTGCCTTTAAAGTACTATATATGTGGGGGGTTTTTGCCTTAACACACACTTTAGGGCTTAGTTTATACTTGTAGTTGGGGGGAGGTATGCGGCTGAGTGGTGTTTTAACTGCCACCTCCCCTTAAGCTGCAAAAGCAGCCAGACAGAGGTGTACCCGTGCTACAGGTGCAATGCTTTGCAAAGTACCAAATATGTTCTCCACTGCCATGTTCAGTGGGGCTACTGCTTCCATTTAAGCAAATGAGAACCAAGCCAAAAGCTAGGCTTGCAGTTGCAGATTGGTATTGCTATTCAAAAAGCCCATATGACTGTAATAAAAAAAACAGGTATTTAGGAGGAGGTAGCATCTTCTTCCAAATGCCTGTCAGCCACACTTGCACCACTTCCTGAAAAGCAATCCACTTGGGTAAGCTGTATAAAACATCAGTTTTTTTGTATACTGTAAAGTGTTAATCACCAGTTATGAGGGCCCCTAGTACTGGTGGTGAGCTTTCATCTCTAATATACTTACATATATTTTGAAAGCAGAAACTGTTCAAAGGTAATTCTACTAAATGCAACACTTTACAATCTAATACAATTGTTTTATGATATTCCCGTGCTCATGTCATGTTAATTTCAAATGTTCAGTAACTTTATACTTGCTACTGTAACAGCAGACAGTAATGCAATGCTGGCAGTAATAAGGGAGAAGTACAAATTATTTTTGTCCTTTATTCCCTGACATCAGGAGCTAACCTAGCTACAGCTATGCTGCAGTAATATAACATGTCAATTGTTAGTTATATGTCTTTTGTATATATGTTTGTGACCTATTTATTGCCATTTATGCCATTCTTGCTACTTTTTCTGAGCAGAATTTCAAACAGACTCTCATTATCCTGTTAACTATAAATCAAGAATCTGCATTTGGAAATGCTAGTAACTGAACAATGAGCTTCTCTAGGAACATTTCTGTTCACATTTAGATACAGAAGGTTATGCCATTAAAAAGCACTTACTGTCTCAGGTTTCCATTAGATGTTAAATTTTTTTCCAAATTAAAAGCATGAATGTGCAATATTGCTTAGCCACCAAATAATGTAAAAAGTCAAGTTGTTTTTAATAAACATAATTTACAATATTAGCAGAACGTTTTTAAAAGGTATTCCGTTTTTAAAAGCTATTCTCTTATAAACATTTGGCATTTGACTTCTTTTCTTGTGTAAATGTTTAATTTTACTTAATTTCTCTCAACAAAGATGAGCTAATTACTTCACTAGATTAGGCATACTGAACAGATTGCATTGGGGCACAACTGTGAATATCACTCAACCTGTTGACAGATCCAGAAATCTAGTTTCATGACATTTTAATAATGTTTTTAGCAGTTCCTTTATTTGTAGTTCCCTTCCTCCAAATGCTATCTGCTAACATATCAGGCTTAGCGGCTAGTATTATAAATCACCCCCTATAAAAATACCATCCCAGGGCTAAAAGGCAAAATTCTCTTCCAACTGACCTCTACCTGCCAAGGTGGTGTAGGAATATTCAGGGAAGGCAGTTGTATTTTATATCCTTCCACTGCCCTCAAAGAACTGGTACACTCCAATAAACAACTAACACTCCAACAGACAACTAACTAATTTATCCTTTATTAACAGTTTGGTCTGAGCTTTATGGGGACAATGCTACTGAAGGATTCCTATAGTGGATGAGAAACCCAGAAGAAGAGCCTCTGGGGTTGATTTACTAAAGGCAAATAGGCTGTGCACTCCAAGTGCACTTGGAAGTGCACTACAAATGCACTGAAAGTGCAGTCACTCTGGATCTGAAGGAAATATGCAAGGAAAATAAAAAAACTGCATTTTTGATTGCACATGATTGGATAAAAGAAATCAGCAGAGCTTCACCTCCTTTCAGAGCTTTAACTTGGATATAAAGCAACTGCACTTTCAGTGCACAGTAAGGGGTTCCTTTACTAAAGGCAGTTAGACTGTACACTCTGCAAATGCAGTTACTCCAGAGCTTGGTAAATGAACAGGAGCTCTGCTGACTTCCATCGTCCAATCAAGTACAAGCAAAAATGCTATTTTTTTCTTTTCCTTGCATGTGATTGGGTATTCTTGGCAAAGAGAAGCTTTAACTCATTTAGTAATCTCTGGAGTAACTG